AACTGTTAATTTCTAAGTTGCATTCCATATTTCCTCTGTTGATTTTTGACAGATCAATGCATACATAACTTATTTGTGTGAAGCAGTGGAGTATTGGGCTTTTGGGGTGGTGGGCTAGGGCTTGTCATGTGTGGTAGGTAAAACAATAATAATAATAATAATTTAGGCGTGGATGAATTATGAATAAGTCTGTGGTGACTATGCAAGCGTTCATTACCCGTAACCTTTGTTTTTGGAAGTTCTGAGAGACACTTTTCAGTTTGACCCCTCAAAAAAATAAAGAAACAGAGAAGATGTTGAAGAACAGAAAAAATAAAGAAAAAAATGATAATCATGTAGACATAGTAATTATAAGTTGGAAGCAAACGGAAATTGGGAGTGGGCGCTTTCCCCACTGGTAGATGTCTGCGTCTGATGTCAATTTTGAAGAGCAATAAGGGAGAAGCGATCAAGAAAAAACATATTTTAATAATTGAAAGCAAAGAAAGAAAAGGATTGAAGCAATTGCCTCCATTTGACGTAACGTAATATTGTATATATTAGCGAATTAGTGAATTATTTACAAACCCTCAGAAGAATGGGGCTTCCAACGAAAAGGACTTTGCTTGAATAATTATTGTCTGATTAGGTCACTCAGCTTCATCGGCTTAAACCAGTGCCCTAGTGGGAAACTACCTTCTCTACTTTTTCAAATTATTAGTAATAACATTACTTGTGCACCGTTGCTTTTGTTCCAATTTTTTTTTTATATATATCATGTTTATTTTACGTTTTGATTTATAAAATTAAATTAGATTTACTTCTGTTTAAAAAATATATACTTAAACATGAATATATAAAGGAGACATCTATTTATTTCAAAAAGATATCCATTTACTCGTTCCAATGACATTTCACCATATAAGTTAATTAAAATTAAAAATATAACATATTTAATATCTTCGTAATTTTACCATTCAAAATAAAACAGTTTTTATTTTTCATATAGCTCATATAAATTTCTAAAATATAAATAAAAATTATTTATTTCATTTTCATATATTTTATTGTAGATTTTTTTCAGTATAATCATCACAATTCAATAATAGATATAATCATCACAAATCAATAATAAAAAATCAACATATTATTTCTAATAAAAAATATTAAATTGATTTTTTTCTCATCTAAGTCCATAATGAATAATTAAAAAATTAATATTTATTTAATTTTTAATTTGTTGGATCAATCTATCAAATCATAACTATTTTAACATTGTTAAAGAAACATGTTATTTAACGCCTAGAAACCATTATTTTTGTTCAATCATAAAATTTCTCAGTCAATTATATTTAGGCATATGTTCAAATTCATCAAATATGAGTTTCGTTCACTTTGCTAACGTCTCTTTGCATTGGTTTTTGCTTAAGCTAAAAATTAAAATTGCTTGAGCAATGAAGGTATACCACTTCAGTGAAAACTAAATTTTCTCTTCATTGAAAGGATTTCACTTAAAATAATTTTTTCAAAATTTATCCTTACTCAGTTTGCTTTTGAGCAACCACATGTGAATTAAGTGAATTATACATAATCAAAATATTGTAGCTGTAGAAAGATCATTGAGTTATCCAAAATTATATCACTCAATTCTACAATAATCTTTACCATAACCCATCAAATTACTATTCATGTTAGTCAATTTAATTTCCTTCTTTTTAGAATTGTGAACAGACAACATATATTTTCAACCAAACACTAGTACACAAGGTTTTATTCACATAATAAATGAAACTAAAAAAATCATTTTTACCCAACTTTAGCTAATTTTGTAAAAATTTACTTTCTAACAATTAAATACATACACATTATTCTAGTTTAAAATTTAACTAAAACTTTTAAATTATAAATATATTCATTAACTTAACTTCACTATGGTCAAAATCACAGTTCAATGCTTTATAACAATATCAACTACAATCAAACTAATAACATATCATGATATACTATAGTAATTGTAGTCATGAATACTAACTCAATTTTAAACAATATCTATCATCACAACACAACAACCTCACTATATCCATTAAAGAATCTAAAATATCTCTTCAATTATATATATATATATATATATATATATATATATATATATATATATATATATATATATATATCATACATCGTACATATCTTTTAACCTAATTTTTCTTACTTAAAATTCTAAGCCTAACTTAACTCAAAAAACTCAAATTTACTCACATGAAATTTTAATCAATAATATATGAAAATATTGAATTTTAATCAAATTTTCTTAATAAACATTCATTTTTACATGAAAAAAACATATGATAGCATATTCTCCAGAGACCATTTTACCAACATGCAAAAAAGAAAAAAAAACATAAAAATTAAGTTCAAGTGAAAATACCCTATTTATTATCAATTACACTGGGGTAAATTCATATATATATATATATATATATATATATATATATATATATATATATATATATATATATATAAAGAATCTTTAAAAAACAATTTAGAAAAAAAACATAGGATATAGGTATTTGAAGCGATAGTGATTCTCAAATAAAGTTAAATAGTTAAATTTTTTATTTATAAATTTTTTACTCAATTAATAAAATACTCATATGTCTTTTCATTTAACATTTTTAATTTTTAAACTAATAATTTTTTTATATTTATTAAATACTATATTGTTCAATATATTTTTATTATATTATATTCTTTTAAAACTCATTATTAAATGAAAAAGATTTGACAAAAATTATACATACAAAGTTTTATATTAGTTTAAATTTTTTAATATTATATATATATATATATATATATACATACATTTTAATTAAAAACCTTATTTTATTTCCTATCTAATTATATATTTTGTAATAAGTATGAAAAAGACACATTACTAAAAATTATGATATTTCATGAAAATATTTTTGCAAATTCTTATACAAATTTTTAAGAAATAAATTTTGTACAAATTTAAATAAATTTTTACAAGAAAATTTGCAGAAAATAGCTAATTTTTTATTGGTAAAACTATAAACATTTGATATAAATTTTAACGTTATATATTCTTTAACTGAAATTCAGTTTTTATATATTTAAACCCTGTCCTACCCTGGTTAGTAAATTTGAATTAATCTAAAATACTATCTTAGTCCTTCACTAACAATATTAATATTAATATTTTAGTTCATCGTACATTGATTTTAAAATCCTTTCTTATCATTTTTGAAATCTTAAAAGAAAATTATTTATAAAAAAGTTTATTTCTAAAAGACAACAAGTATAAATTTGAAACAGCAAAATGATCATGATATGCTACTAAAGAAACTCAATTGAAAATGATAGGGAAATAAATATTTCTTTGGTGGTCTTTTTCTAGATTAAAATCAGCCACAACTTTTCGTTAACACGAGAATAAAAAAATAAAAATGAAAGTAAATCAACCACAACTTATATAGCCGCCTACATTTTGAGCCCGCGGTCCCCAAAAATGGAGTAAAAGGACTCAACTGATAAGAACAAGAGCCTTTGTCATATTATTATATCTCATTCAATAATGGTTATAGAATAATAATTTAATTATAAATGGCCCCTTTTTGGAATATTTTTCATTTTTTATTAAGAATAATTTATTATCATTGATCGATGGCTAATGCTTAGAATGTATCTTATTTACTCTATAATTGAAATACTAAACGTTGTTCTAACTATATAAGTATATGCATGTGACCAAATATTGGGCATTAATTTTGAAAGAGTATTTGGAGGAAAGTTCTGGTTTTAAGTTATGAACTCACATCACACGAGTTTGTACACAATATCATTCTCATGATAAAATGGTTTTGGGTCAAAAAACTTTATTGAATGCGAGGCATGTAATTTTCTTAATTTGATATATTAGTCGTCACAACATGGAAGAATGAGGCGTGGTTAAACTACTAATCAAAAGAGGTGTTGATATTACAACACTTGACAAATTTAGGCTGTTTGTACATCGCTGTGTTAACTTGTTTAGTCCAAACTCAATCGCACATGCACCACCAAAATTAGGGGAACGTAACCTTATCTTCTGTAAAACATGTGTTTGATATTGATGAGTTGTGTATTTGAATTAGTTAGTTTCTCAAGCTGAATCATTATTTGAACAATAACAATGATGATAATGTATCAACGTGAAAACTAATTTTATACAAATATTAAATCATGAATTGTTGTTTAATGATTTTTTATAAAGTAGAAACCATTACAATGCATGGTGATTTATGATCAAATGGAAATGCAAAATAATTTTTTGTTCTCATATAGTTACATATATAAATAATTTAGCTTAAGTTATCAGCCTTATCAAACTTAAGATATGTTAATTTTATTTAAGTAAGGTTTTAAAAAAATTAAGTCTAAGTTTTATTTAAAAAAAATTACAAGACTTATATAAATCAAAGTGTAAACTTATAATACAGTGGCTAACCTATTTTCACCCATGAACCAAATGTTCCTGTTTGAAGGCATATAGAGAGAGATCAAGCGATCTGGATCAGATTATGCAAATACAGGAAAGCTAAGGACTTATCTTTTGGATTTGGATAAAAATCAGGGGTATAATGATAATATAACCATTCGTCGTAGTAATCCACTCACCGGATAAAGAAAATGACTTATCACGTGACTCACAAGAAAAGTCACGTGTCTCTTTGTCACCCTTCTTCTTCAGGCTTTTAATCCCTCAAAATCCCCGAGTAATGTGGGCCCATAGGCTGAGCAATCCTTATCTCAACGTGAACGCCGATCCATGTGGCCACGTCACGGGCCCCAACTTAGATCGCAGCGCACGGTCCAGATCTATCTCCACCCCGAAGAGTTGTTCGACCTTTAACAGCCGGCCATCGTTAAATATGGCACCCATAGGGCCTGGTTGTATCCCTTAATCCGAGACCTTATCATTGGGATCTCCATACGCCGGATCTGCTAAAATACGCTTGATCCATATGGGCCTCCTCGACCACCTGTGGGACGACACCGTCGCCGGCCCAAGGCCCGATTACGGTCTCAGCAACCTCCGTAAACACCACACCTTCAATTTCCGACCTAGCTCCGGCAAGGGTACGACGCTTTACACTAATAACCAGGACCACCAGTCCACAATTACAATCCTGAACTAAACTCTTATCTTCCACATCATCATTATTATCCTTATAACTATCATCGTTATAATCTAACCGTTGAATCGAAGATCCATCGCTGTGTTTTAGGTTGCATGCTATCAGATCTGCACCCTAAACACGCTTTTCAGGCTCGAAGCTACAAATCGTACTAATCAATTCCACACGATCTATATAATAAACAAGATAAATGACGCGAGATGAAATAACCTAAACCTAATCACTTTAATTCGGAGATTGTTTCATCTGAAACGCTCATAGATTTTTTTTTCCTCCGATTTTATAAAATATGCTAACGAACAGGCATATTTATTATATTGATCAGAACCGGAGAGCGGGAGCGTGAGATCGGTCGGTGACGAATCATCGTCGGAGGAAACGACGAGAGTGACGCGTAGTATCATGATCGTGAGACCGCCAGGGTACCAGAGTGGATCGCCACCGGTTTCTCCCGCCGGTTCTACTCCTCCGGTTTCTCCATTTTCGGGTAAGGTTGTTACTTCCTTTCTCCTCTTTTACTGTCACGGTAAATATAATACGGTTAATTAATTAATTACATGGTCCAGTAAACGTAGACGGTGCTCCTGAATTTCTGGTGGCGAATGTTTTGTCGTTTTGTGGTGGTATGATAAATCAGTGTTTGGTGGGAGTAGTTATGAATTATGATATTTTAAAATGACTTTGCACAATTTATGTGGTTGTCCACATTAGTAGCACCTTGTTAGTCACGGTATGCACGATCAGTACACAGTCATATCCACATTTTTGTGATCAACTCAACCCATGTGTCAGTTTCACAACTAGAGTAGCCACTTGGTTATATTATTATTATTATTATTATTATTATTATTATTACATAATGAACAAAATATAGAGCACCGGATGATTTTAGAACCTATGTGAGTATGAGTTTTGTTAAAGATAAGGCCAGCTATAAGAACAATAAATTGTACTGATGTGATGTGTATGTGCATGGTTTGTAGGAGCAAAAGATTCGTTTCGGTTTCGAAGAAGGTCGGCATCAGATGCGTACGAGAAAAAAGGACAGAACAGATCAGTCCCTTCTTCTCCTTACGATGTGTGAGAAATGAGTTGCAGTTTCTCGTGTCCGAAAGCTGAGAATGGATGTTTGTAAGAAATCAACTGATGTTGAGGCTGTGCTGCATTTCACGCGAGCTAGCTTTTTGGTTTAGCTTCTATGTCTTTGCTTAGTTGTGCTGTGTAGTGGTTGGCAAATTTAAGTAAGAAGGTGTAAGGGTAGAGTAGCGGTGTATCCTACTATTATGTATCTGTATATTTATGATCAATAAGCCATTCCTGCGTTCGTTGCTCTTGTTCATTTCTCCTTCTAAATTAAGTTTTTAGCTTCCCTAGTAACAACCTTGCAATTCAGAGTATTTATAGGCCTCGACAGTATCTCCACATAACGACTGAATCACCATGCTACAATATCAAACTAATTGTTGTCTTTAAAGATGTTCTCAGGGGAAAAAACACTTCATAATGGGACAGTCGGCCAGCATAAATTATTGAATACACTTGTCGCAAGATATGAGTGTGTTGTTTTTCGAATTAATCAATTAATTTCTCTTTTTTCAAAAACCTGTTGCACTTTCGAAATAGTGAAAAAATCTTCTGAATCAATATAGTTGCCATTTTTTTTGGTTGACTTGTGTGTATAATGATAAAGATTGATTGATTAGTGTAACAATCAATATTCTTTTATACAGTATCAGACTAAACTTGCGTGTTAGGTTGGAGCCAAATCCTGAGTGGAATCTGAATCTGAATTTGAGGGGCAATGTCCCTGCATTCCAATTTCTTGCAGCTACTCCTGCAAAACAGCGCATTACAGAGTCCACACATCTCCCAAGTTTGTTTTTTTGGACCCACACCCTTCCTTCTCCCCAGTTTCATATCCTTCTCTGTCTCTACTTTGGGCTCGTGATTTTGATGGCCCGATTACATTGACACCTTGCATTTATTTTTAACTTTTTTTTTTTTTTTCTATTTTGCAAATCTTATCCGTTATCCGCGCTTGCCCCTCCATTGTTTTGTACTGAAAACATGTTTTAATCTCAATGGAGACAAAATACAAAGGTCGTTTGTTCAAACATAAAATTCCATGCATAGACACAATCTTAATCGTTATCATAAACTTTGTCTATATATCTATCTCTATTCGGAAACCAAAGCATTTTTTGACACAAAAATTTGAACTAATATTTTAGAGAAATACCAGTTCTACGAACAGAGAAAAGTGTTTGATAAATAGGGATTATATGATGGAGAGACAGAAAACAAAAGTATTGCAGAAAATATAAATAACACAGCTCTTTAGATTCTGTTATATACTACATTCAGTTGCTGATTTGTGGAAGGCCTCACAGTTCACATCTAAGAAAAAATATGATACGCAGTTTCTTGAGTCATAGGAGGGATGGAGCTAGAGGGCCGTGTAGAAACAACAAGGCCAACATGACCACTGTCTTAAGCCCCAAACTATTTAGTTCATAATTTTTACAATTAAAAAAAATTGATGAATTATATTATAATAAAATTAAAATATATTTGTTTGCCTCAGGCCTAATTTATATATATATATATATATATATATATAAACAGAAGCCAAAAGTAGGATGGGTGCATAAGAAGTTACTTTACAACTATTTTCCTTTATTAATGATAAGTGACTGCATTTTTTTATGCTCTGTTCGTCAATTTTAGGTAAGTGAAAACGTTAAAAAAAAAGTCAGTTTTCTAAAATTTATATGTTTCCAGAACACATTTTTAGTATTTGTTTACTATCTAGTGAGTCTGGGCACTTTTATGTTTTCTAAATAGAGCACTTAAAAGAAAACAATACATTTAAAAACTTTATCTTATAAGAGAATTTTTCTTTTTCTTTAAGTACTTATAAAGACAATACTTTTTCTTTTTCTTTATGAAGCTGCTACATGTTCTAATTTCATAAACATTAAAGTAAGTCATAACAACTTAATCAACACCAAAATATAGGACTAAAAAACTTTCCCAGAATTGCAATTTTAAACATAGAACACAAAACTGTTCTTATCATGTTACACCACTTTTGTATTAGATTAGGATTCTTTCCATTGATTCCTTAACTTTGAAAGATTTTATTTTAATTATAATTGCTAGTTCCTAAAGAAGTAGACACGGGACGATAAATAAGAAAAAATAGTTAAGAAAAGATGAGATAGAGATACTTAAAGTTGTAATCGTATTATAAACACCATCAAAACATAACCAAACTAAGAAAAAAAACATGATGTTTCAGTTAATTTAGCTATTGTCATATGTTATAAATACAATTAATTTTTTTTATGACAAACCAAGTAATAATATTGTCTCTAATTCTAAGATTCGGACCATGGTATCCTTTATCACATGAGAAATATAATGTGTAGTCATATAATTGATTAAGTTAAATCTCTACCAAAAACAATATTCTTAAGTTGTCATTCAAATAAATAGCAAATAAATGTACGCATTTAGTAATAAAAATCTCTTTGCATTAACAAATTACATGCTAATTCTGGCAATCACAAGCGACCAACTTGTGTATAAAGTAATAATTTCTACTCCTGCACATAGAATGTCCGAGTGGTTCATACAATGTAGTATCATCGGCAATGTGTAATCAAGAAGGCTCTTCCATGTCAAACTCCTACTTGACGAAGTTGAGTTAGTTGGATTGGATTCCTATTTGAACTTAAAATCTTTGCCAATTACTAGGTCTTTCCGACTTTGGGTGGCTGCTAAAGAAAGTGGCAACAGATACTAATATGATGCACAAATGTTCAAAATATCAAGACTACAAAAAAAAAAAAAATACGATAGCAATAATTAATATTTTACCTTCTTAAAATTCATTTTTGAAGAATTACTTCCCGATGCTTTATCAGCGGGTTTCAATATCTCAAAGGAACATACAAGACAATCATCAACGCTTAACAATGCACCAGCATTGTCAAATTCTCCACCATAATTTGGAGCAGAAAATATTGTGACTAATCTTCTTTTAGCAAAAAACTCGTATCCATCCTCCACAACCTATTGAAAAATTAGACCTTGATCAGAAGAAGTTGGAACAAGTAAAACATAAAGATGAATGGCTGTAATAGTTGGATAAAGTTGAATCTAGACACAACATGATGTAAAATATTGGTGAATGAGTGTTAGCAGCACACCCTTTGTATCCATCAATTTTTGTGTTTTCCCATAAATTTTCAATCAATGAGAAAGTATTTTAAACTGGGTGTTCTTGGTGCTTTTAAACACCAAAAGGTAAGAGCCAACAAGTGAATTGTGTCTTCCAAAGTTCCAAAGTTCATTCATCTAATATGAACTAAGAGGTTGTTTACCTGATGCCCTCTGCAAACAAGATCAAGGTCATTTTTATCCAAAAACTCTGCAACTACATCAGGTCCAAAAGTACACGAAACGCCTCGGTCACTATCTGCCCAACCCTCAATGTTAGCATCAGGATCAGACCAAAGTAGATCACATAAGAGACCACCATCTGGAATTTCTGTAGGCCTTTGAATCTCTCTTATTTGATCCAAAGTTTCTAATTCTGGAGAAAGTCCCCCATGCATACAAAGTATTTTCTCATCAATGAGGGCAGCCACGGGCAAACAATTAAAACAGTCCGTAAATATCTTCCACAACCTTACATTGAACCTCCTTTTACATTCGTCATAGAAACCATATATACGATTAATCTTTGCTTCTTCATGGTTTCCCCTCAAGAGAGAAATTTTGTCTGGATATCTTATTTTGTAGGCCAAAAGCAAACAAATAGTCTCCAAGCTTTGCTTCCCTCTATCCACATAATCCCCTAGAAACAAGTAGTTTGCTGCAGGAGGGTACCCACCATATTCAAATAGCCTAAGTAAGTCTTGATATTGACCATGTATATCACCTGCAAGAGAACCACACCATGCAAAACAATGGACTAAAAGATCAGACAATCGCATACTTGTTCACGGATTTGACTCATCTTAAGGAAAAACCTTCACATTAAAGAATAGAATGCTTATTTATTCAAACATGAAAGGTTGAGAATTGAAATAAAATGCTAAAATTAAAAGTTACTTACAATTTCAATAATTGATTTCTCAATTAATGATTATTGTTACGTTAATGTTCTTTTCTAGTCAAATCTCTTTTTTCACACTAGTATTTGCAATAAATGAATCTTTAAAGGAATTTTCTCCCAAAAATATCCCAAATCTATGGAAGAATGCATCTCTAAAAAATGCATCAAATGTTAAAACATGAAGAACAAAATAATCGAAAAAGCAATTGCAACAATCAATCATGAGAAGATGTCTATTTCTCTTTATTTGTTTTCATTTAATATTTCATTGAACAAACAAGATGCATATCATTGTATTGTTATCTCTTTGGATACAGCAAAATGTTCAAAATCCCAAAATTCAAAGTTTCAAAGCTTGTGCAATTTTCCTTTACCTAAAAAAAAAAGAAGAAGACAACTTGTACAAATTATTAATACATATAAATAATAAAACAAAATCCTTCATTTGAAGCAAATGAAATCTCCCTCTCCGTATCATTATTATGTAAAAACAACCACATAATAAATAGATAAGGAATAACATAAGATTGGAAAATGAATTAGAAGGATAAGTAAAAAAAAAAAAAAAACTTTGAAGAAGAAGAAGAAGAGGAGGAAGAAGAATGGAAATGGCTGGCTAACCGCAAATGCGGATTGGGGCACGAAGATCAAGAAGAATTGGCTGAGAGAGGAAGATTTGTCTGGCGTTAACACAGAGCTGACGGATTTCCGATTCAGAAAGTTGCACCTGCTTTCCTCCTTTTCCTTCCAGAAGCCTCCTAATGACATCATCCAACACCGCCTTGTCCATCATCCCCTCCATCGTGGCCATCTTCCTTCTTCCCTCTTCCTATAACAACACAAAATGCCTCTTTCTTTTGATGGCCGGTGAAGCCAAAGATGGGAGAGGAAAAAGATAAATAAAGAAAATTTAGTTGTGGGATCAGAATTTCGGATATATGGACAACCTCACCCAACCCAAACGAACACCTTTTTCAGCTTTTATATCATCTTTTTTAAATCAACCATCTCTCGTCGATTACTCTTCACCATCATCATACAAAACAAATGATAGTTTAATATTATTATGTCTAACTTTTTTTATTATAACTAATTAATAATTAAAATGTTGGGCTATTTAACTCAACCCTCAAGGTGAGGTGGTTGGGTTGAACTCGAACATTTGTAAAATTTGGGGTTTCGTCTAAAAATTGCTTTCTAACTGACATTTTATTTGGTTGAAACCTTCAACGCAGGAAGCAAATGGGCGTACGAATATTATGCGCTTTTCAAATCACCATCTTCCACGTAGATCTCATTCGTTGGTTGTCCGTGCGTTGATCAAATTTCGGAATACTCATTCACCCACCGTTCGTCAAGTACAACCGTTTCAAACTTTGATTCGTATATTGTATTTTATGTCTTTATTTACATTTACGTAACATTATTTTGTTAGTTTTTTTTTTAGCATACTAATATAATAATATAATGCCCCAGTTTTACATTAAAAATTTGATAAAGTGCATCGTTCGTTCCACACATGACCCGAACGATAAAAGTTTACACGAGCTGTATATGTAGTGTTGGGCCTTATTTGCCTCGTAAGTCACCAAACAGAAGCACAAGGCCCAGATCCATTACTCAAAACCCTAGCATGCATACCTTCTCAAAGAGTCGCTGTTATATCTGACTAAATTCTTCCGTAGGTGTGTGCTGTTCCAACACCCAAAGCAGCAATGGTAAGTGTTTTCTTCTCCGTCTTGGATTTGTTCCTTTGAATGTAGCCATTAATCTGTGTTAAGCTTATATTTTGACAATATTTTCTACGTTTGTATTTACCTATGATACGCAGGGGATCGATCTTAAGGCTGGGGGTAAGAGCAAAAAGACCAAAAGAACAGCACCAAAGTCCAACGACATCTACCTCAAACTACTTGTCAAGGTTTCTCTTTCTTCAATACCACCTTACGATGCTTACTTTTGATATGAACCTGTAGAGCCGTTGTGTGTGATTCTGTTTCTCACGACGATGATGATAAATGTGAATCCCAGCTCATTATGAGACCCTTCTCCATTTGAAAGGTCTGGGAATATACCTTTTCCACATTTGTCTGAGCCTCATTACACTTTTCTCTAATACTTCACATGCTTTTGAAGTATTTTCATTTCGGATATAGGATAGTTAAAGTGAGAGGTCCCTTATGCTTAACACATTCATTTTAAATTGTTTATTGTCTCATCGTCTGTTCTGCAGCCAAAGTTTCAATTTTACTCTATGTGGAGTAAGTCTCCTTTTCATGTATGATTCTGTTACTGCATATACTTGAAGTTCCCAATGATGCTTTGGTTTTCTTACCATGCTAATGTTGATAATATATGATTATTACTTTCATTGTTCTGAGGGAACCTTTTTTTTTGTCGTTTATCAAATTTGAAGTAGGTTATGATTGTTCAAGCATTTTTACTAGGTTTAGAAATAAGTGTTTTCTTTTCTTTGTATGATTTGTGTTCAAATAAGAAGTATGTTTATATTTACTTCTTATGTTTCGAAAGATTCTGATGAAGTGTTACATGCCCAGCTTTATCGCTTCCTTGTTCGAAGGACCGGCAGCAATTTCAATGCTGTGATACTTAAGCGCTTGTTCATGAGCAAGGTGAACAAGCCTCCAATTTCTTTGTCAAGGTTGATTAAGTATACAAAGGGGAAGGTATGTCGCTCTTTCTCTTCCTTTTGCATCTTTTTGAACGGGTAGTTATTTCTCATGTAGTTTAATTAATTATTGGTTTTAGTTAAAATTTCGCTGATGTTCTGTTTTTGTCCAATGTAGGAGGATAAAATTGCTGTTATAGTGGGGACTGTAACTGATGATATCAGAGTATATGAAGTTCCACCATTGAAAATCACAGCACTCAAGTTTACAGAGAGAGCACGTGCAAGAATAGAAAAGGCAGGCGGTGAATGCTTGACGTTTGATCAGCTTGCCCTTAGGGCTCCTTTGGGACAGAATACGGTATTTGTAACAAAAAATATTGGCCTTTGTTGTTTTTGGAGTGGGTTTCTAAATGTTACTATTTTGTTATGTTAATTGATCTAATATTTGGTATCACGTTTATATTGGACAATTGGTATTCTTTCTAGTATAAAAGTCACGACTTTACCTATATTCTATGCATCATGATATTTTCCTTATGAACTATAAAAGATTCGTGAATGGTGTTTGTGAGCGTTGGGTTCAATTGCTTAAAATAATAATTTGGATCTTTTATGACATGCAATGTGGGACTGCTATTTCGATATACTTGGTACGTGTTTGTTTTGACTTGGATGTGGGTCATGAATCCGATGCATCAAACACGCACTCGAAATATAGGAGATCTAGGATTAAACTGATTTATGTACTTGAATGCAGGTCCTTCTAAGAGGCCCCAAGAATGCTCGGGAAGCTGTGAAACACTTTGGTCCTGCTCCTGGTGTGCCACACAGCCATACCAAGCCCTATGTACGATCTAAGGGAAGAAAGTTCGAGAGGGCTAGAGGAAGGAGGAACAGCAGAGGATTTAGAGTTTAAGATAACTTTCTATTTCTTTTTACTAGTGTTCTGAAATTCAACTTTTTGTTATAGGAGTTGGTGACTGTTTTTATGATATTTCTCAACTCATTTATGGACATAGTGTTCTGTTTTTATGATATTAACGTGTATGAAAGAACCCAACACATTTGATGGATTGAAACCCTAGTCATTTCCCGTGTTGCCACCCCTCTGCTCCCACCTTTTTACAAAACAGTTTATTTATATATTTACCAAGTAATTAATCGGAAATTGTTTTCGACATTGAATCATTTAATTAAACATTGTAAATAGTTTCAACTTTCATGATGTGTATGCATATTTTGTATTCTTTCTAATGTCCTAAGATATGGATATTTTGCTCAAGATGTCGTCTTCATTTTGATTATATACATTCTAATAAACTCCTCCCAGTTTCCTTTCTGAAGATGTTACCAAAAAGGTTGTAAAATACTCTCGTCCTTAAACGTGCAAGCTGCAAAGCATAATTGCTTAAATGAAATTATTACATACAATTTAATAATAGTTATAAGTATTTTAAAAAATAAATAAAATTAATATATATTCATACATATGTATATTTTTTCGTCATGATCTTTTCTATTTGCATGTACATTATTAATAATATCATAGATTTAATTTAAGTAATAAATATCAAGATTAAATTATTCATTTTCATGAGTAAAATCTTGTTTTTCCCATGAAGAATAACTTGTCATTGTTTAGAAGTAGAATCTTTGACATAAAACACTTATGAATCTTGATGTGTCATAATAAATGTTCTATCTTGATATCTTATCTTTCAAAAATTAACTAGCATCATTCTTTATTCATCATTCTTCACAACCTACTTACACTTGAAAACAAACACTAGAAACTTAGTATAATTAATCTTTCAAATCTCTTCAATTACATTGGAATACAACATTGATCCTATAATAGGATGTTGATCCTTAGAATTAAATAACTGTATGGATTCTGCCTCAAGAGTCACACCATTATTTTGAACAATATACTTCTATTATCCATAGACTTTGTATGGAATGAATAATTATTAATACCATATCACATACAACATAAGACATCAAATTTAAGTCTATTTGTTAGTCATGTTAATATTTTAGATATTGTCAAATTTTTCATTATTTCCTCTTTAAATCATGTCATAAGTGTCTTGTTATGCTCCATCAACATTTACTTCTCTTATTGTTTTGAGTTATTCTATTTGATAATAACTTTTTGAGGAGTTAAATATAAAATTACCTCATTCATATTGTTCAATATATAAAAATGTGTTTGAAGAACTTTTTCACATGATTTAGCTATTATAAGAACACCTTGTAAACACTTACTTGTTAATCGTCTATTGTGTCAAGAGTTTGATGAAAGTCTTATAGGATTTATCTTTGACATATACTTTGAACAAAATTCAATGACTTTTTTTGTAATGTATCTCTTGATCATAGAAGTTTCTAAACGATAATATTTTTAATATATCCTTTCAAAATCTTCATATAATGTATTAACACTCAATTGAATATATTCATTTTATATAAAGTGGACCACACAATCTTATTTCTCTAACCAGATGTACAAGCAAGGAAACTGTTAGATATTGTTTATATATTATTTGATATTGTTAAGATATTGTTAGATATTGGTAACCACAATATCAAACAATATCTTCTGTTTATTCTGTTACTTTCGATTACTCTTTTAGTTGTATTTCTCTACTATAAATAGACCACCCTATGTGTGATTTATACACAAGGGAAATTAATTCCAAACTATATTTTCTTTATATTCAACATGGTATCTAGAGCTTAAGGTTATCTTGAATTTTTTTCCGCCTTTTGTCCACTGTTGGAGCCGCCCCACCGTTGCTAGAGCCGCCCACCGCTGCTAGAGCCGCCCATGCGCTGGTAAGCGATCCTCCACATCGAAAAAGAATTATCTTTGTCATTGAATTTTATTTGGTAGTGTGAAAGTGCATGTTTAGGAAAGTTCGGCAAGGAAAGACTTGGTATTTAAGTGTGTCCATTAGTGACCCACCTCTCTTTCACGGGAACTTACCTAGTGTACTAGTTCACGTTCACTGTCACGCCATTGGCTGGAGCGATCCAGGTCCGCAGTTGTCGGAGAATTCGCCGGAGTTTCATTTTTTTACCGGTGATATATGATTTTGCTTGTCTCGGTCGGGGTTTGTTCTCCCGCTCTTCATGACTTCTTCCACTATTTCCAATTTTGTTAACGATTCTTTTGTGTTGACATCCCATCGTGATGACCGGGCTCGCCCTCGCAAACAGGAAAAACGGCGTCCTAAGTGTGAACATTGTGGCAAGCTAGGTCACAAGATTAACAAGTGTTATACATTACATGGTCGTTCTCCTCGATCTGCTGTAGTTGTTCGAGACCAATCTTTCCCCACCTTTATCCGTAGGGGATCTTCCTTCTTCTGTTGCATCAGACATGTACTGCTATGTTCAACAAATTTCTCGAATGGTATAAGGATCAACGGTCTTCTAGTTCCACTATATCTGTCACACATACAAATACATATTTTCTTTGGTCCGACCCAATCATTTTCTCCTGGTCCTTGGGTTTTTGATTCGGGAGCCACTGATCATATTACTGGTAACAAATCTTTGTTCTCCTCTTTATCCTCTCCTAATCATTTACCTTACGTTACCATTGGTGATGGCTCTAGAGTATCATCTCATGGTGTTGGAACGGTTAAACTCTTTCCTTCTTTAACCATTGATAATGTTCTTTATGTCCCTGGGTCTCCTTTTAACCTGTTGTCCATCGGTCGTCTAACTCGTTCTCTTGATTGTGTTGTTACTTTTACCAACAATTCCGTGTGTTTACGGGACCGGAGTTCGAAACAGGTGATTGACATAGGATGTGAGTCTCATGGTCTTTATTATCTCCGTCCCTCTACACATGTTAGTACGGTTATGGAGTCTCCCTCTCTTCTTCATGCTCGGTTAGGTCATCCAAGCCTTGCCAAGTTACGAAACTTGTCCCTGCCTTGTCTAACTTATCTAGTTTGGCGTGTGAGTCATGTCAATTAGGCAAGCATAGTCGTACTTCCTTTCCTCGTAGTTTCACACGTGGTGCTTCGTCCCCTTTTGCCGTGGTTCACTCGACATTTGGGGACCTAGCCGCGTTAAGTCTACTTTAGGTTTTCAATACTTTGTTACTTTCATTGATGATTATTCCGGATGCACTTGGTTATTTTTGATGAAAAATCGTTCGAATTATTTCATATCTTTCAAACTTTTTTTAATGAAATTCAAACTCGGTTCGGTGTTTCTATTAGAGTTTTGCGTAGTGATAATGGCCGTGAATATCTTTCTCATTCTTTTAAACAATTCATGGCTTCTCACGGTATTTTGCATCAAACTTCTTGTGCTTATACACCTCAACAAAATGGTGTAGGCTGAACGTAAAAATAGACATCTTATTGAAACAACTCGCACACTTTTAATTCATGGAGATGTTCCTCAACATTTTTGGGGTGATGCTCTTCTTACTGCATGTTATCTCATTAATCGCATGCCTTCTTCGGTTTTAGATAATAAAATACCTCATTCCATTTTATTCCCTCATGAACCACTTCATCCTTTACCTCCGAAAGTTTTCGAGTCTACATGTTTTGTTCATAATTTCAATTCAGTGCTGGACAAGCTTTCTCCTAGATCACATAAATGTGTTTTCTTAGGGTTTACAAGATCACAAAAAGGATACAAATGTTTTTCTCCTTCTCTTAACCGTTATTTTGTGTCAAAAGATGTCACCTTTGATGAGTTGTCTCTTTATTTTAAAAGTCAAACTTCACCTCTGTCTCCATCCAATCTTGTCAACACTCCTAATACATTTAATGTTCCTGTTGTTTGTGACCCTCTAATTGTGTCTTCTTCACCATTAGTTTCACGCTCCGCGATTAGCTTCTTCTCCACTGCCTCTTCGATTTATAGTTCTCGAAACCAATCATAACCACCACCATGTGACTCTACTCAAGTGCCAACTACTCTGTCTCCTCCGGATCGACACATGAGTCCGACCTTCCCATTGCCCTCAGAAAAGGTATTCGTTCTACACGTAATCCCTCTCCCCATTATATTGCTTTGAGTTATCATCGACTGTCATTACCTTTTTATACATGTCTTTCCTCTATTTCTTCTGTGACCATTCCAAAAGCTGTACGTGAAGCTTTAGCCCATCCTGGTTGGCGTCGAGGCCATGTTAGATGAACTAAGTGCTCTTCATAATAGTGGAACTTGGGAATTGGTCCAGTTACCAGTCTGGGAAATCTGTTGTTGGTTGCAGGTGGGTGTTTGCTATCAAAGTTGGACCTGATGGTACTATTGATCGCCTCAAAGCTCGTCTTGTGGCCAAAGGTTATACTCAAATTTTTGGGTTGGATTATGGAGATACCTTTTCCCCTGTGGCAAAGATGGCTTACGTTCGTTTATTTATCGCCATGGCTGCTCTTCAACAATGGCCTCTTTATCAACTTGGATGTTAAAAATGCTTTCCTCAATGGTGATTTGCAAGAAGAAATATATATGGAGCAACCTCCTGGGTTTGTTGCTCGGGGAGTCTTACGGGATGGTATGTCGTCTTCGCAAATCCCTATATGGCCTAAAAGCAGTCTCCTAGGGCTTGGTTTGGAAAGTTTAGCAAGGTTGTTCAACAATTTGGTATGACTCGGTGTGAATCGAGATCATTACGTCTTTTATCGACACTCGAGTGCTTGGATGTGTTTACTTGATAGTATATGTTGATGATATTGTTCTTACGGGTAGTGACAACCATGGCATCTCTCGGTTGAAACAACATCTTTGTCACCATTTTCGGACCAAAGATCTTGGCAAACTTAGATATTTCTTGGGTATTGAGGTAGCACGGTCCAATGATGGTATTGTTATATCTCGGAGGAAATATGCCATAGATATTTTGGAAGAAAGCTGGGTTGATGAGTTCAAAGTCTGTTG